GAGTGTGCCTAATTATATGCAAATGCTATGCCGTTTATGTAAGAGAATTGAGAATACTCAGATTTTGGTATCCTAAAAGAGGCTTGAACCAATCTTCCACAGATGTCATGCAATAATGTTACTGGAGTTAATCTAATTATAAAAGTTGTTGAAGGAATAGGAAAATAAACACTTTTTAATATGTTTTTCTAATCAACTTTGAGGAATCATAAAAGCACACTTTTGATGTAATTTAATCAATTGTGACGTTTGTATCTGCTGTTGAAGTCTCTACCAGTCAAGATACTTCCCGTTTCTGTCATACCCAAAGAGTCTCCTGGCCCCTTTATCACTGCCTTCGCCTTCTGCTCTGACCTCAAGTAGTTTGCCCTCTTTTCCACTATAGATTGGTTTATAATTTACACGTGAGGAGCCTTATAATATGTGTGCTGCAGTGTTTGATTTAAATGAAGAATTTTGAGATTCACCTATGTGATAAAGTATATGCCTGCATCATTTGTCTATTTATTTGTTTGTAGACATTGCTGTTTACCATATCATAGAACATTTTGAAACCAGATACCAAAGACTGGAAATAATACTTTAAATATCTTTTAACTCTTAACAGAAATGTTATTTTATGGCTTATGAAAAAAAAAAGCTTTTACTTTTTATTCTGTGGTTAATGTTTTTCTGAAGGAACTTGGATATCCTTTGATTCCAAGTAAATATAGTATGTTTTTGTAGGTTCAGGCTTTAATGGAGGTATTGTTCATTGTGTAACATGAAGTATTTTCCAGGGAGCTTTTTATATATCTTTTTAGTGATAAAGCAGTTTAGAACCTTTATAATAATAATTTAACACGGTGGATTTTAGACTTGTATATTTCTTCAGAAAAATATTGAATTATTATAATTGTTTATAAATTCTACTTATTAATTTATTAATAATATAAAATACGATGAAGTAGATGAAAAAAATGGGATAAGATCTAATTATAAATAATAGTTTTTTCTGTGCCAACTAATAGATTGCTTTATGACTATCTTAACTGTGGAAACACAATTCATAGTATTATTTACTCCAATAGTGAAAACTTAAACCAGTAGATGGCATCGTTTGACTTGCCATTCCATATCAATATATAACTGGTGTGAACTGGCTAGGCTTTGTGCCACCATGTCAAGTTCTCTACAGCTGTGCTGTTAATTTCTGGGATAAGGCAAAAGTGTGCTTACTTTTTTGGCTGTAAAATAATTCAACTCTGTCACAGGGTTTGAGAAAAGTAAATATAATTTTTCTATACTAACAAAGTTATATTTTATAGTTTATGAAAATAGTGAAAAGTAGGGGCTAGAGAGGTGGCTTAGTCGGTAAAGTATTTGCTGTGCAAACATGAGGACTTGAATTTGGATCCCTGGCGCCCATTTAAAAAAGTCAGTGTGGATCAAGTGGTGGTGGAGGCACACACCTTTAATCCCAGCACTAGGGAGGCAGAGGCAGGTGGATCTCTGTGAGTTTGAGGCCAGCCTGGTCTACAAGAGCTAGCTCCAGGACAGGCTCCAAAGCTACAGAGAAACCCTGTCTTGGAAAAACAAACAACAACAACAACAAAAACCAAAAAAAAAAAAACAAAAAACCTGAGTGCTTAGGGAGATGGAGACGAGCAGACCCTGGAGCTTCTCCAGACGTCTAGTCAGTTAGTTCTGGTCAGTGACACACACACACAGTAGCCAAAGGTGAGGGGGAAAGTACCATTTTATACTTAAAGACACTGTTTTAATCTTTTCCTTTTAAACACTTCTTTCTTTATTCCCTACCTATGTTATTTTAGTATTTCAAGTAACTATATATCTCTGTGTGAGAATATGTAAATATATATAGTATATATAACTCTATGTATGTGATGTGTATTTTATACATATGTGTGTATGCACACAGAGATATAGATAACATATATATACACACATAACATATGATGTCAACCACAAACCATTGTAATCTCTGTTTTTTTAATCCCTTAAAGTCTGATTTTTGTCCAGTTGGAGTACATTGCCCCCATTTAGAATGCATGTTTTAGGGTAATTATGTTTTCTTCCCATTGCTTAACATACCTAATCTCATTTTTCTTACGTGAGTAATAAATTAGTGTGCATTCTGTTTGTCCATAGCTACTAATGTGGAATAGCTAATGTCAGAAGGAAGCTTGCTTAAGCATTAAGAAATTTGCTGGAAGCAAATTGTAAAAGATAACTTACATGACTGTGTCATGAGCTTTTTGTTTCTGTTTTTTCATAGGATGCTATTCTGAAATACAATGTGGCATATTCTAAGAAATGGGACTTTACAGCTTTGATCGATTTCTGGGATAAGGTAAAAGTGTGCCTATTTCTTTGGCTGTACATGGTACTACTTTTTACAAAGATCTGAGAACAGTCCATAGAATTCTTCTTTACCAACAAAATTTTATTTTACTTAATGGTTTTCCAAATGCTTGATTTAGGTAGATAATTTGGTACTGAATTTTATTTTATTTCCTTGTTATAGTATTTTTTTTACATCGTTAATACTGTTATCATTATTATCAATGTATGTATCTGTTCCATGACTACATGTTTTCCTCTTTTGGATTTTTAGACAATGTCTCAAAATATTTTAGCCTGGGCTGCCCTCAAACTCCTGACACTGTTGCCTATCTCCTGAATGCTGGGATTACAAATATGAGCCCGCACAAAGGTGTTGTGATTTATGTATGAAATTGCTATTATGCACATATGTAGGCTGTGAAATTTTAGCTTATTATCATCTACACTACAGTAATGTGTGTATGTGTACACACATACAATAGTTAAATGTCATGTTAAAGTATGTGTCTATGTATTTATCAGATTATTTCTTTATAATCCCAGAAATTTGGTGTTGAGGTGAAGAGATACAAAAGCACGTATCTCTTGGTAGTCTGCATACATGCTGTAAAATAATTTTCTGGAGCTACTGGAGCTTCCTATGCCCTCAGTGTGGTAAGAGCATCACGTTAGAACTACCAGCAGAATCTCTTTGTAAAAAATGGCAGGAAACGTCTTTTAACATTGCATTTTGGAGTGCGGTATGATGGTGCATGTTTATCATCCTAGCAGTAATGAGGCAGAGGCAGGCAGGAGGATCACCAGTTAAGAACAGCCTGGGTGAACACAGATCTAGTTGATTCCGAACTATGCAGTAATTGTAACCCTAACCCTAACCTTCTTTGTTTTTTTTTCAATTAAAATTGCTTTGACCTTTGTACATTGTTACATGAACTTGAGTTTTTGTTCCTTTGAGGTAAATATCTCAAGATGTTTTTAAGTATATTTTTTAGTTTTAGAAGAAGTTGCCAAACTATTTACCAAAAAGAGCTGTCCCAAAATTGACAGTATACTTTTGCTAAGTGACTAAGTTTCTACCCCCAAATAGGTACTTTTATATATAATCTTTTAAAAATTACAATTTGAGTTGTTTGTATTTCTCATGTTATTTTGAATCCTTTCAGTCATTTATGCTTCATTTGCTAATAATAGAAACAAAATTGTTCTTAGAACATTATAAATTGCAATGTTTAATATTCTACAGTTTGGTTATGTAAGAGAGAATAGTTGTTGAACTGTGAATGTGGCTACATTGTTACTTCATGCCTTTTCCTCCCTAGCTGTCTTTCAGGGAAATAATTTTGAGGTAATTAAAATCATTACTATTTTTCCATTTCACAAATGAGTAGCTATGATTTTTGAGATGGGCTTGTTGAGCGAAGGTGTCCCTAGTGGAAACAGTCTAGCCCAGTCACATGTACCGTAGTTGTCCTGTGATTTCCCTCTGCACATAGCTTGTTCCCTGCATGCTGCCTCATTTTCTGAGAAGTGATAAAGTTCCTTCCACCTTTCTTTTAACATTCTGTTTCTCCAGACCTAGAGTTCTCTGCTGACCTCCTCAAAAATGAGGTCACACCCCCTTTTTATTTCTATGACAGATGTCTTAAGTTGTCTTTTGGAACTCTCTTAACTTTATTTTTGAACTCTTGGCATGATCTAGCAGGTTAAAGCATTCCTGGTAGAGACTTGAAGGTCTTGACCTCTGTGTCTACCAGGCACTCTAAATACTCATGGTCTTGACTTTAGATGTGACCGGGTTGTCAGACTGGTTTTCAAAGTTAGCAGATCAGGAAAATACTAGATGAAAAGTGTGTTGAGTAAAGAGTGAGATGTTTGTGATGTCTGTTACCAATCCTTCCCAAACACGCAGTACCCTCAGATACAATTTCTGTGACATTTCTGACATTTCCAGTGACATTGATAGGTTAAGAATCTCTGTTCTCACCGTGTGGTGGCGGCGAATTCATTTAATCCCAGCACTTGGAAGGCAGAGACAGGCAGATATCTGAGTCTCTGAGTTCAAGGCCATCCTGGTCTACAGAGCGAGTTCAAGAACAGACTCCAAAGCTACAGAGAAACCCTGTCTCAAAAACAACAACAAGACAAACAAACAAGGAATCTCTGTTCTAGGACTTCTGCTTTGTCAGGGGCCAGACAGGAATATTATTTAAAACTTCATATTAATATTGCATTTTGGTTGGGAAGAGACCTAAAACATGAAAATGCAGTTGGCGTAGGAGACATTCTACTCGCTATCTTTTTATTTTCCAGTGTTGAATTCACAAGCATTATTTGTAAGACTGAATGTTGCGCTTTTGTGCTTTCAGATTTATTGTATATCTGGATCATGAAGGCCTTGTTATAGTATAGAATGCTGCCCACTGCCCTCTCTATGGTTCCAACTTCGAAAGTGAGCCTGGGGACTAAAACTCTATGTTTGTTTCAGGTTCCAGAGATCACATTAGACCCCTGATGGCTCTATAGTATTAGACAAGTTATCTTATTCTTTTGTATGCAGGAGGTCAAATACCTTCTTTAATTACTGTGTAGGTATATTTTAAGAATCTAAGCTAAGCGTTATATCTGAAGCCACTCTTTAAAATTCTAGAATACTTGCAGATTCATTCTGCACCTGGCTGCAGCTCCTGTCTGTACTTTTTTCTGTCTATTTAGAGAAATATTCTGGGGTGCTGTGGCTGCTATCAGGAACAATGTAGCTTCCTGGGGACACAGTGAAAAAAAAAATTTCTAGACTGCCAATCCAATATTGTTTTATTTTTTTTAAAGATTTATTTATTTATTATGTATACAACATTCTGCCTCCATGTATACTCACACGCCAGAAGAGGGTGCCAGATCTCATTACAGATGGTTGTGAGCCACTATATGGTTGCTGGGAATTGAACTCAGGACCTCTGGAAGAGCAGCCAGTGCTCTTAAACACTGAGCCATCTCCCCAGTCCCCTATTGTTTTATTTTTTAAAAAATGATTCTGTCTTAGGTACATTGAATGTGCAGTTTTAATGTTTTAATACTTTAAAATGAATAAATAAATATGTTGATTTCTAAATTCTACATCATTGGCTATTTTTATAGAATAGATCCTAGTAATAAAATTATCAGGTCAGAGTGTATTGTGATTTCAATGTGAAATGTCTGCAAAGATCCGTTCTGAACACTTGGTTTCTAGCTGATAGCCCTGTTTTAAGTTTGTGGAACCTTTTGGGTGTGAAGCTGGCTGGCAGAGGTAGGACTTAGAGGTATAGAGATGGTCACATGTCATGTTTTACATTTCTGAGGGCTACAAATATGAGCCGATCTTTTTGTTTTGTTTTGTTTTTGTTTTTCGACACAAGGTTTCGCTGTAGTTTTAGAGACTGTCCTGGAACTAGCTCTTGTAGACCAGGCTGGCCTCAAACTCACAGAGATTCACCTGCCTCTGCCTCCCGAGTGCTGTGTTTGGTGGGGTTTATAATAAAATTCAAAACAAAACATATAGCAGAAAAATGTGAAAAAAGTGTGTAGGAAAAGAGTGAATTGGGTTAGAGTCATAGAAGATAATGTTAAGTCTGTATTATTAAAATCTTAGTATCGTTAACTACAGTTCATCTTGGGACAATAGAAAAGATACCTGGAGGGCAAGACCCCAGCTGTTTTTTTTTAATGTATTTTTGTTTTTGAAGCAGGGTCTCACTTTGTAGCCCTGGCTGTCCTGGAAGGAACTCACTTTGTGGACCAGACTGATCTCCAAAGCACAGAGTTCCACCTGAGTGCTGGGGATTAAAGGCATACACCACTACACTTGGCTTTACTTTACTCATTTTACATTAAATTTTGCATATGAGTTAAGAGCTCAGTTTTATTATACTCTAAATCTAAAAAAAAAAATAATTTAGTGTGCTGTGTACACTAAATACACTGTATACAGGAACACATCTCCACACAAATGTAATGTGGAGGTCAAAGAAGCCTTTCAGAGTCACTTCTTGTCCACCATGTGGACTCTGGGAATGGAGCCCAGATCATCAAGCTTTGGAAAGGTTCCTTTATCTGCTAAGCTATCTGGTCAGCCCTCAGTTTATTATTTTCTATTTGAGTATCCATTTCCAGTTAATTTGTGGGTATTTATTGTAAGAAATAGGGGTCCTACTTCATTATTTTGATTATAGCTAGTCAGTTGTCCAAACACCATTTGTGAGAAGCATGTTCTCTAATTCTCTTGGTTCCCTTCTCAAAACCCAAGTTCCTGTATGTTTGTTAGTTTATCCTAGGCTTCAGTCTTGATTACTGTGCCTTTGTAGTCAGCTTTACAATCAGGAAGCATGTATCTTCTAACTTGATTTTTTTTTCTCTGCTTATTTGGCTTTGTTGTATCTTTTGCATTTGGATATGAATTTTAGGATATTTGTTAATTTATGCAAAAAAGCTTCAGGAGGCAGCTTTTATAATCATGTTAGAATCCAAATTAATTGTACTTTTTGAGTTAGTGCCAGAATTTCAGGGTTGCTTTATTGAGCTTTTGACCCATGACAGCCATAAACTAATGGATTCCTTATCTGTCCTTCTGACAGGAAATTGGATGTCTCAGTATCCTTGAATCTTAATGAGTCTAGTTCTTAGAGATATTTAATTTCTGATGCAATGAAAAGTTAACCAAATTGATACAGTTTTTTCTTTGTCACTTAGTTGTTGAATATAACGTTTGTATTTTGTAATCTTCTTGGCTTTAAGTGAATAACTTCCTTAAACTAATATTAAATTTGATACCTTGAGATGGCAGTAAAACATCCCACTGGTACCTCTTTGACCTCGCTGGGTAGTAATTATTTCATCCTTTCATTCTTTCCCCCCCTTCCTCCTTTAATCAGAATTCTCAGCTAGGGCTTCCCTCTTTATCTGGAAACCTTGCCCGTGACACACACAAAGGATCAGGGTGATATATATATAGCAAGTTTGTGTAGGTTTAGTGTAGGTTGTAAATACAATGTGATTACCAAGGTGCTGATGATAGTTTTATAGCTCTTTAGGGAAAGGAGTCGTTTCCATTTTTATTTACCTTGTCAACATGCAGAGGAATAAAAGAACTTAAACCGGAGCAAATACTTACTTTCTTACTGAATTCTTTTTTTTATATATATCCTTCTTATTTTGATTGTTTTAAAAGGTATGTGTTATGCATTTTTCCCTGCTTCCCTTCTGTCACCCCCCTTCTCTTACTGTATTCTTAAGTTTGCCTGTGTGTATAATGTTTTAAATATTTATATTTGTCTTATATAATTATATTTTCATCTAAGTATATGCTTAAATGTCTTGCTTATTGTATATTACAAATTTTTCTGATACAGATGTATAGTTTTTAGTATTAATGATTGTATAGTAGTCTATTAAATTGACATCATTTTCTCAGCCATTACAGTGTTAGAGATTTGAGAATATCCATGTAGAATAGCTAGAGGCTTGGGGTAGTTTCTCTGCTGTGATAGAATGGCTGTTCTGTCATTGTTCCTGTAGTTAACCAAAAATTTAGATGTTTAAGATGTTTGTATGTTTTCTGCTCTGTCACATCTGGAAGATTAATATAGAACTTTATTAGTCATAGCCCATGGGGACAGTGCTGCCCAGGCCTTCCGAAGTTAGTGAGAAGTGAGTGTCAGGCATTAAAAATGGCAGTAGTAATGGAAAAGGAGTGATTTAGTGCAAGGGGAATAATTGTTTGGTTAGGTTTGAAATAGAAAGTGAATTATGTATGTTTTGTGTTACCTGTATCTACCTTCTAGAGTAGGAATGCTTTTCAGTCTAACGAGTTCATAAATATTGTTTTTTAAAAGGATTTTGAATTGGTTTTTTTTAATTAATTAAATTTTTTAATTTATATTTATTTTTAACTGATAAGAATTAAAAACTATAAGAATTGAAAACTGTATGTATAAATACCAATGTGATATTTCAGTACATGTTTATACTGTATATTATTTAAATCAAGTTAGACATTGATTTTCTAAAACATTTATCATTTCTTTATAGAGAAAACCTTGAAGAACCTAACTTTTAGAAATATATAATATATTATTGTCATCTTTTGGTCACCTTGCTACACTAACTCTTTATTTAATTATCACATTGAATGCTGAGTGCTGTGCTTCGTTAAGGAGAAAATATCCAGTGAAATTTAATAACATACTAGCATTAGTAGTAAAGCTTGATTCCACATTACTGTTATTACCTTCAGACTTCTGTCTTTGTTAGAATCACACGACCGTCCTGTTTTGGAATGGAAGTAGGAGTATTGCTGAAGCTGTCATTATTTTGTCAAGAGCCAGCAAAAACTACAGAGATCAACCTATTAATTTGTAATTTATAGTTATTTATATTAGGTACACCATGTTGAAATTGCAGTTATTTAATGGTTTTGCATCTTGAGTGCTAGTGGCCTTCTTTACTGCCAGCTGTTAGAAATATTGGGAACAAATCATGTTTTTTATGGTCCTCCTGTGTGGCGTTCCACAAAATTAAACCCAAGCACTTCAATAATTTATATTCCAAATAGATCGATATTCTTACTCTGGGCGTTTTTCACAGGAGGTTTAAACGGCATGCCTTATATGTTAGTGAATGCTCTCTTGTTTTAATGCATTATAAAGAAGCTTTAAACATTTCCATATTTTAGCACCTGTGGCATTATTTCATTTCATTTCATTTCATTCTTAATTACTGAACTTGAGGTGTATTTCATACATTAGAGCCAGAGACTGAGGAGGAGCAAGGATGTATGTGTAAGAGGAGCTCTTTCTGTTTCAGGAGTGGATGGTGGGTCTAAAGTGCTTTATAATTATTCATTAACCTGCACACATCCTTTTTAAATTTAGAATTTTCATACAATATGTTTTGAGCATATTTCCCCTCCCCCATCTCCTCCCATGTCTCTTCCTCACCACTACTTATCCAAATTTAATGTTCTTTTTCTTCTTGGCAAAAACAGAAACAAAAATCAAAACAAACAAGCAAAAAGCTAATGACAAAAAATGCCAAATGAAGCAAAAAGCCTTCAATAAAAAATTTTGTTTTGGGGCTGGAGAGATGGCTCAGTGGTTAAGAGCAGTGCCTGCTCTTCCAGAGGTCCTGAGTTCAATTCCCGGCAACCACATGGTGGCTCACAACCATCTGTAATGAAGCATACACACAGACAGAATACTGTATACATAATAAATAAATAAATAAATATTTAAAAAAAAATTTTGTTTTATTTATAATATATATATAGACTATATATTATATGACATATATATGAGTATATATATTAATGACTATATATTTTATGATATGTACAAAAATGTTTGATATAGAGAGCCTTAAATTCTAAAATTGATTTATGTAACAAACTTTTTTATTGATTTTTATTGAGCTTTACATTTTTCTCTGCTCCCCTCCCTGCCTCTCCCGTCCTCCCGTCAATCCTCCCCAAGGTCCCCATGCTCCCACCTTACTCAGGAGATCTTGTCTTTTTCTCCTTGATTGTATCTATGTAAGTCTTAGTATCTGCATTGTTGTCTAGATTCTCTGGGATTGTGATTTGTAGGCTGGCTTTCTTTGCTTTATGTTAAAAACCACCTGTGAGTGAGTACATGTGATAATTGTCTTTCTGTGTCTGGGTTACCTCACTCAAAATAACATTTCCTAGCTCCATCCATTTTCCTGCAGAATTCAAGCTGTCATTATTTTTTTCTGCTGTGTAGTA